ACTCGACTTTGATTGATTATCGGCTGACAAAATCTATTTAGATCTATTATTTCTTTGAATTTAATCTGAAAATGGCATATTTAATGGTTTTTATGTGATTATTGTTTGAAAATCAATTTCGAATCTGATTTTTCGATCGTTTCATTTACATGGGTATGCTACAAATACTATGTTCTACTTTGAAGAAGAAAGAAAGAAAGAAAAACTTCGTTTCCGACATAGCGTTCTCTATGCAACTAGCTTTTTACTGGAGACAAAAATTGCCCATTGCAAAACGAACAGAATATTGCCTAATAATTATGCAATTACTGTCAAAACTATTAAATCCAATGATAGAATACTAAAAGAAGAGAAATATGTGTACATTCAATGGTATATTAAAAGAATATCCATGGATTTCAATTGATTCATTTCTTACAACAAATTGTCAAGTATCACAAGTTTTCTTTATTTCACATATGTAATTAATAATTTTTATGTTTAAAATAAATCTTTAGTTTTTTTTTTCCATAGACATACGGATCATCTTCGTGGTTTAGATGAACCAACATTTGCTGAATATATTACAAATAATCGTTCAATTCGTATATATTGTTCAGAAGCATCTAGACATTTTCTTTCAATATTACCTGCATATAAACATCTATCACAATTTTATTCAGTAATTAATGTTGATCAACCATATACTATAGAAAATCCTATGGATAAAAGTATGAAAATTTACAAAAAAATTTTATTTTTATACTTTTTTCGTTTCTCAGATATTGCAATAACAGTTACTTGTTTTGGTTCTGGTCATTGTCCTGGTTCATTAATGTTACTTTTCGAAGGTTCTCATGGTACAATTTTATATACCGGTGATTTTCGTCTTTATTCTCATCAATCAAATCGTCATCGTATTATTTTATCAAAAAAACCTATCGATACACTCTATATTGACATGACTTTTTTCGAACCATCTATTCGACAATTACCTGAACGTGAACAAGCATGTCAAGAACTTATTCATTTTATTGAACAATATGATAATAGATATTTCTATCTTAAAACATCTGCTCGTGTAGGCTATGAATATATTTATACATCATTATATCAACATTTTGGAATTTTAATTCATGTAAATTCAGAACAGTATCATTTATATGATTATTTACCACAAGTTCAACAAGCATTAACAATAGATGCACATGGAACAAGATTGCATGCTTGTTGGCCTAAATGTTCATGTGCAAAATCATCAATTAAGGTAATTATTGAGGAAAATTTTTTTTTAATCATTTTTATATTTTGTAAAACACGGTATAATAGGAATGTTGAAATATACAGAGTATAAATTTGTACTCCGCACAGACCGTGACACACGGGATCGACAGATGCGTTAGAAGTAGCTCATGGTAAACATCCTTAGCAATATTTCTCCTTTATAACAGACTCTGATGAATATCTTAGCAACACCATCCGATGTTCGCGTCACAAATTGTGAGCATTTCTGAAGAATGAAGGAAAATGATTGCGAAGAAATGTGACTCCAAATAGATAGAATAACACAATTTTTCTGTGATTAGCAATAGCAGCTACATTGTGTTTTACATTTTAATTTCGCAGAGATTGCACTAACAGCTTTTTGGTTTAGATTGTACTTTCTGTTCTCTGGTTTACTTTACAACAACAACAACAATTTAATTCTCCACTTATTCAAATATCTACTGATTATTATCGTCTTTGCTATTCTCTTCATTCATCATATAATGAGATATGTACATTTATTAAACAAATATCTCCAACTCATATTCATCCAATAGCTTTACCGAATCAAATAACACCTTCACGATTCAATGAACTTCTTAAACAACTTGGAATAGATCAATTTCCAACAATTTATTTTTCACCAAATAATTTTGAACAACAAATTAAACGACGTTATCAAACAATTGAAAATAATAATAGTAATGATGATAATGATGAACTTGATTTTGATTGCGGTCAAAATCAAGAGAATAATGAGAAACAATTGTATAAACGAATTAGTAATTTACAACAGCCACCAACTAAGAAATGAAAATAAAAAAAAAGACAATAAGAAGTTGTGTATATTGTTTTTGTTATACCATATTTTTATTTTAGTAAATACCGAAATCGACTAACAAATGAACAGTATTTAAACAATGTTGATCTAGTTGTCGTGTATCCTTCTTATCAGTGGACACATACGCATGAGCCGTTGAATGAATGTTCAAATGTACTACAGTAGACGACATCTAGTTTCAGTGAAACGTCAGAAAAAGAAATTGTGACTAAAATGTGATAAACAATAGTACATCTTTACTTTTATTTTCTATTTTAGCAAAAACTGAGTTTCATCTAGATGAGGGCGTTACAGTACATTCATAGCGAAAGAATAGATCAACAAATTTTGGTTGAAAAAAAATAAAAACTAGAGATGTCGCTAAATCAATTCTCCGGTTTGTACTGTAAGTCCCTCGTTTTAGTTTGTCAGAACACGCCAACATGATAAATCATTTTTATCACAAATACACTTTATATCCTGAAAATAACAGCTCCTAAAAATGAGTTTCATACCAAATGTATTAATGGATCTCGATTTCGACATTGATTGGTATTTTTTCCATTGCTTGTTGTCACCAGACCACGTAGTATTTATCACCAATAAATAGTTTATTATTGAATAGATAGTCATATAGATATTTGTAATACTAATTTAATCTCTATATGTTTTATTATTATTATAAAAATAAATATGTATTATTTGGATGTTTATAGTATCTTTCTATTTTGTTAACTTAATTCAAACAGTAGTTATTAGCTGTATATAATCAATTTAACAAATTCAATGTATGTCAAAAATGAACGATGTTATGAATGATGTTTATTGTTTTCTATGACTTTCTTGCTGTAGACCGCTTATGTATGGAGTTAATTCTTGTTTAGAGATAGTAATGATAATATTGGCTAGATAATTGAAACTTAGTATGACAATAATCATTGGATTTTACAATATATATCATTGCTTTTCTCAGCACCGGATTGAAAATATATCTTTGACGTACATAATGAATCGTCTGGATTTGACGAAAATCTTCCCTCAGTATACTATTGAATAACTTTGGTATTTTGATTTGTAATGAATTATATTAAGGTAAAAAGAACAGATAATCAAGTGCTGTATAATTATCGGATTTGCAGATTTTTAATAGACACATACTATTAGATTTATCGAGAATAGTATAGAGTAGTTAGAGACTATACTGAAGATCTTTTCAAAAATTGAAGTTTAAAGTATCATAACCTTGTTATTTTTTGCCATGTTTTTTTGACTAAAAATACTGACATATACCATGAAGTGTTCTCTATATACCTATCTAAAACTATGAACAGGTCTTGTATAGAATCGATCTATTATGAGCACTCAGCCAAAATAGTCGAAATACTTCAACTTCATTCTAAATCACTTTTCTCATTATGTGAGAAAGATTAATTAGTAAATTTTGCATTAGTAGATAGAGCATCTCTTACACTACAATTAGCCAGATTGAATTGTGTCTAAATCTTCTATTTTCAGGTAAGAATAATCAAAATAGTAAAAGGTAATCAATAATAATAAAAATAAGAGCTTTGTTCAGAATAACTCCATTTGGATTGTTCTAAACAATCAAATACAGAATTCTCTATCTTTAGGACAAATAAAAACAAGTTTCAATGACAAATCCTGTCTGTCGGTCAATATGTTTTTATGTTGCATCTTTGATCCTATTACACTGCATTTTGAAGAACGAAATAAATATTTCTATATTCTTATCTTTTATGAATTCTCAAATATGTTGTTTTAACAATGTAATACATTGTTAAAACAACATATTTGAGAACTTATAAAAGATAAGACTATGAAAATCATTATTTACTGACTTCTTCAAAATGCAGTGTAAAAGGATCAAAGATAAAATATAAAAGCATATTGACCGACAGGCAGGATTTATCATTTGTTGTTGAAACTTTTTTATTTGTCCTAAGAATAAAGAATTCTGTATTTGATTGTTTAGAATAGTCCAAATGGATTTATTCGGAACAAAGCTCTTATTTCGTTTTTTATTATTAATTATGTTTTACTATTTTGATTACTGTTACCTGAAAATAGAAGATTTAGACACAATTCAATCTGGCTAATTGTAGTGTAAGAGATGCTCTATTTACTGGTGCAAAATTTAATAATTATTCATTTTCACGTAATAAGAAAAGTGATTTAGAATGAAGCTGAAGTATTCCAACTGTTTTGGCTGAATGTTCATAATAGCTCGATTCTATACAAGACCTGTTCATAATTTTAGATAGGTATGTAAAGAACAGTTTCGGTTGCACATCAGTGGTTTTGACCAAAACAAATGACAAAAAATAACAAAGTTATGTTACTTTAAACTTCGATTTTTGAAAAGATGTTTAGCATAAACTCTAACTACTCTATATTATTGTCCTACTCACTAGTTGTTTTGAATTTATCAAATGCATTAAGACCCAATTTTTGACAGTTTTTATTGCAGTGATAGATTTATGGGGAAAAACGAAGGAGAGATCGTCCGCGATTCGAACAAGATTCTGTTTGTTTTTCTTCAGCAAAAATGAACGAAAAATGAGTTTATACTACCTGATATAAGCCTCAAAAAGTGTTTTTTCCCTATGAACAGTTCTTCTTCAGAGGAGTGATTCTCTTACAAAATTCTAGATCTGTCATTGTTTTATCAAATTTTTTTAAAACCTATTCCTACAATCATGATACAAGTTCTAAAAGCGATACCACAAAAACAAAACTTCTATAAAAAAAAAACTAATCATTTTTCAAACGTTTCTTCAAATTATACAAATATGATTAATTGGCATCATTCATTTTTATTTTTTTGTTTTTTGACAAAATAAAAAACATAAAACATATGTTAATAATATCAATAGATTATCACAATTGTTAAATAAAAGACTAAAAAATTAATTTATCAAAACCATTGATTTCTTACAATAGCCCAAAGTGTTTCTTCAACACGAGCTGCTTTGAGATCATTAAATGTAAATGGACTTAATGAAGATAATTCACGATAGAATTCTTTTGAATAATATTCTTGTAATCGAGATGCAGCTTCTAAAACTAGTACAACAGAAAACATCATCATTGAAACTCGAACATATTGAGCTAATGTAACACCAGTTTTTCTATCTGAAATTGTACGTTGATCATCACTAAATTTTTCATATGCTGGTGCACAATAACAATATTGAATAAGACGTGCTGTTGGTACATCTAATGGTCGACCTTCAGCAAGAGTTTGAGTAAAAATTGTTCGATGATTATTTTTCATATCTTCTTTTACATCCTTAAAAAAATAAAACGAAAGGAAAGTTTCCTTTCAAAAATTAATTTAAATTTTAAAAATATAAACTTACTTGTAAATCATCAAGTAATTGCAAACCAAATCCTAAATATTCTAAATAAGCTATTTTAGCTCTCGTTAATCGTCCTTCAATTAAAAATCCAGCAGCTATTAATGATGCACCACCTTTTTCTGCACTAACTTGTTCAACTTGTGTCATTGTTGGTGCATAGCTATCTTCAGTTCTTGCATGTTGTAATGTTGATTTCATTTGTGATTCATGTATTGTAGCTAAGCTCATATAAACACCTTCATATTCACCACCACGTTTCCAATCATTTTCAATAAATTTAACCATATCAAATATTTTTACTATACGATTAGCTTGTGATTGTAATGATGATGGTAACTTTAATTCCGCAACATTTGATTGTTTTCCATCAAAATGTACTTGAGAATCATACGTTGGTTCACCAACCAGTAATCGTTCATGAAAAAGTTTTGCAAAATCAGCTTTTGCTTCTCGACTTACATCGTTACTATCGACTAAATCATCTGTATATGGATAAAGCATATTATAACCAAATATAGAATCAGTTAAAATTAAGGGTAAATTGAGTTGCATTTGAAAAGCAATCATAAACCAAACAGTACGACCAGCTTTAAATAATTCTTCATAACTGATTGTTTCATCATATCGTCGTCCTTTATTAAGAAATTCTGTAGTGATTCGACCCATTGATTTATATATGCCATAAAGAGACTCATCTTCTAATGTGGGTACATTTAATGTTTCATTCCATAGGCGAAAACCTGAAAGATAAAAAAAAAGGAAATCAAATTTTCAACAAAGTACATCTTTCTATTTTTGTTTTGGTTTCAAAACTACTATCTTAGAATAACAAAAAAAAACAAAATCAAACAAAAGTTTTCTATAATTTACTTCAAAACAATAATTTTCATGTAAGCTTTTTCGATTTGATTTTTTTTGTCATAAACGAATAATAATCTAATTTATATTCTCTCAATAATTTCATCAAAAATTATCTTGAAAACAAACGATAACTAAAATGAAGTTGTTATATAATAATTTTTCGATTAATCATCAAATCTATTTATTTACCTTTTGATTGAATTTTCTTTTTGAGAAATGTCTTCTTGAATAATGTACAATAAAAAGCAAAAAATTTCATTTTTCTTAAACGTGCTCGTTGTTGTTTAATTGTTTGTCGTCTGACTAGATTATTATCAAGTGTTGGTAGACCGTTAGGTAATGAATACCATAATTTTAATGTACTATCATAATTTAATTTCAATCGTTCTTTTCGAAATTCTTCATATGTCTCAAACTCGAAATATATATCATTATCTAAATTATTCATCTACAAAAAAAAATAAAAGGACAAATAACTTGATCATAAAACTTTATTGAAATAATAAAATTGTTTGTTTTGTTCTTAGTTATATGAACAAATAATTGCAGAATTTTATCGATGTTTCTCATTTTCCACCTACTGCTTATTTTTTCTTCTATGTTACCTCCTACTTTTTCTCCAAGGATATTTTACAGAATAACGAAGCCGTAAGTTAATATAATGTTATGATGACGGTTGACGGTGACTACCAACAGTTTTTTTAAAGAGTAGAATAAAAAAAAAAGAAAGCGGAAAGAAAAAAAAAATAAAAGAACGATTTCTCAAGCAGTGACGAAGATTGATGATTCATCAAGATAAAAAAAAACAGGCGATAAATGTTGGACTCTTTGTTCTTAACTTCAGTTGTAAGTTTGAATTGAATAAGAGACACTGTCAAGAGAGAGAGAAAAATAGAATGGTATTTATTCAAGAGCAAAAAAAAAGCATCCATGCTTTTTTATTTTGATTCATGAACAAAAGATATGGAATATGAACTAGGTATGCATCAATCTCAGTCGGAACAATATTCTATCGGACAGGTAGTTTTGAGATTGATGCCCAATGCGATTATTAATCATACGGATTGATATAAAGTTCCGTTCATGAGCAGTTGGTTTGACATGTTAATAGGCTGTTATCTAGTCGGACTGTGACTGGTGCATGTCATATAAATGCATGAAATGTTGACGAAAATAATTTCTTGAATTCTTCTTGTTTTCTATAGTCATGGCTTTACACAATGACAATTAGAGCAACAATCAGTTATGCTATTTCTGTTTTATATAATAGATGAAGATGTATATTATCAACAACATAGGATTCTGCTGTGTATCTGACGTCAATAAAAAAAGTAAATGACATAGAAAAAAGGGAAGGGCATCTGGTCTCAAATTTCTTTACTTACGTTTGATCCATATAAAATATTGTGTATGGAGAAAAAAAAAGAGTAATCAGAATTTGTTTTGATCGATTACAATCAACAATACAAGATTCTTTTAGAACATAAAAAACTAATCTTCTTATAGAAAGATTTTCCATATATATAAATTATATATTAAAAAAATTATTTATTATTTAAGAACGTAATAAAAAATCAAAATTAATATTAAAATTGAGACAGAAATGCAAAAAAATATTATTAATAAACATGCACTAAGCATAACATCATTATATCGATGAAATGCTTGATCTTTTTCTGGTATACATGCTAAATGTCGTTGATAAGCTAATTTTTCATCGTCAGATGATAATCGACCAATACGAAACAGAAATGGTGACCATGGAGAAGCACAATAAATACGATACCAAGATCTTGGATGTCGAAAAAATAAATAAAATAAAGCAACTCGTACACCTAATTCATCACCAATGACATCGCTGTATTCAAAAAGATTAACTAATTGTTTGAGACGTTTATGATCATGTGGATAAAGATTAGCATGTCTTGCCCAATATGCTCGACGGCTTTTAGCCATTACTTTTTCTGATGGTAAACGCCGTCGACCAGAAAATACTGCAGCTACCCAACGTGCCTGTAATTCTGCCAGTGCTGGTATAGAACCAAATACTGGTCTTGCTGTACCAACAAATGCTAAAGTTCCATCAACACCAGATGCAAAAACAAGTTTGTATAAATCATGTATATCTGTACTAGAAAAAAATGGATGTGTCCATTGAAAGCCAGTACATAAAAGAATATGATCAATTTCAATTGGATTTTCTTCTTTGTCAAATGTTATTAATTGTTCATTAATAGTTTTAATTCCACGTTTTGGAATAACACGATTAAGTGCAACATGATCAACAATTTCTCGACTTTTATTAATAAAACCATGTAAGAATGGAACTGTTGGAGTCCATTCACGTATACCTGTACCACCAACACCCCACATAGGTACAAAAAACATTCGTCTCCAACAACGAACCAATATAGTATCATAATACCCATATAATCTCATTAACATTGTATACATAATATCAGCTGGTTGTTGTCCTAATATACGTGCTTGAAACCATTGTCCTCCACGAATACTCATATACACACGTTTAGCTATTGTAGCACTTAATTCAACAGCTAAATCACTTGCTGTTTCACCACCACCAACAACAAGAATTCTTTTATTAATAAATTTATTATCATATGGAGTTTTATATGTTATACTATGAGAAAATGTACCAGTAAATTGATTAAATGGATAACTTGAACGTGGATCACTAGCTATTTGATGTTGTCCTGAACAGACAACAAGATAGTTACAATCAATTATTTTTAAACCGTCATTTAATATAAGACTCCATTGTGGTTCGACACGTACAATTTTAGAATTAAGATGAATATTTGACCAAAGTTTAAAATGATCAGCATATGAATGTAAATAAGCCAGAACCTCTTCATGAGAAGGAAATTCACCAATCGTTTTCGGAAATGGAAAATCAGATGCATGTAAAAATGTTTTTGATGATGTAACATGAGCTGATTTATAAACACCACTAACATTTTCATTTTCATCAAAATACCAAATACCTCCAATATTTGAACGACTTTCATATAAATGTGCATCAAGACCTTCACCTAAGAGATATTTCAAAGCATAAATACCAGACCAACCACCACCAATAACTACTACACTATGTTTTTCTCTTGAATATATAAAAATTTAATATTTTATTTCAGTTTTCTTTTTTTTATGGTTTTTTTACCTGTTTTCTGTTGACGATAATAAAGGTTGTTCAGAATCTGCCATTTATTTTTTTCTAAAATAAATATATTATTCTGCGATAATGTCGTTTCAGAAATAAAAATAAGTTTATAAATGTTATTTTTCTTCATTCTCTTTCCTTCACATGTCATCGTTTCTACGGTCACCAACACGCTTTTTATCGGTTACTTATGCATAGAAAGAAAAAATTCGTCAAAAAAAAAACGAGTACCTCTGATTCTTTTTGTTTTCATTAAAATAGAAATTTTACACTAATTCCATTATCCTCTAGGTCTCAAATACGTAAATTTTTCTTTTCTAAAGATAACGTGTGAAAAAAATCTTTAAAGAAGTGTTTATTAAATCTTGTTAAGGGGGACCCCCCTCAGAAAATCAATTTTTTCGGAGACGAGTCGAAATTGAAGTTTTATCATGAGAAGATGCACCGAAGTCTCCTCTTTCAGAATATCTATGGTTTATCAAAAAATGAATTGATTTTGACGAACTTATCGCCTAAAACTTGGCTGCTACTGTCATACTTTACGAGAAATTTCCACGGGTTTTTTAAAGCTTTTTCGAATTTTTAGGCTGCTTTATCTTTGCATCAGTATTTCGTAAAGTTTTTTTCTATACTAATCACTAAGAGACTATGAATACTTAATATTAAGATCACAAATTTATAGCCTGTCTTGAACATTGATATATAAATCAGGTGATTTTCGGAAAAATCGATTTCTAATACTGATTTTTCCTTTTTCTCAAAATAAATTTTTTTCGAGCATACCGTTTACGCGGGCAAGGATTTTTCAATAACGACTCAATAGATAAGGGATAATTTTTGTTTTTGTTGAATAGAGGACAATTAGGGCTAGGTCGTAATAGAGTTCCATTTTTGAATTTCTCTTTCGCTGAAATAAAAAGCTTAGATATTTCATTTTTGTTAGCAATTTTTTTGGGCACGAATTCGTGAATTTTGAGAAAAAGGTTTTTTAAAAATCAAACAAAGAGAAATTTAAAAATTGGGCTCTATTACGATCTAGATCTAAGGGCACTCTACAACCTGAAAACCATCCGGGCTTGTTAGCTCGTATCCTTATTGTGAAACCCTTGCCCGTGTAAAGGGTAATGAATTGACTAGAACTTGTGCATTTCTTTGAGATTTGGGGGAGATATTTTAACCATAAGCTATTCTAGTCAAGATCAACATTTCCTGAAATTTTGGTTGAAATCGGATGAAAAATAACAAAGTTCGTTTCTGAGGGGGGCCTTAAAGTATGCTTGTTAAAATATACGCCATTCTTATTATAATCAGATTTGGAAGTGATTAAAAATTTATTATAAAAACAGAAGGTTTTAATAAATAAAGAATTGAGTTTCTTTTGTTTTTGAAAAATACACTTATCTGTCCATATAGTTGGGTTTTAAATTCTTTCTTGTTAGAGAAAAAAGAGAATAAGCAAGTACATTTTGCTGCCATCAGAAATATTCTTTTCGTATAAAGCCCTTCTATGATATTGAATTGAAATATATTTCAAGTAAACTTTATAGAGAATATCGTAGGTTATCTTTCAAGAAAAAGAAAGAAAGACCAGACATCCCTCAATGGTCCTATACGGACACATAGAAAAAAACTTCATGCAAAAAAATTTTGCTTGAACAGCTTGTTTATGGTTATTCTGCGAAAAGAGTAAGTCGTCATTTCTTTTAATGAGATTCATCTATGATCTATGAATAAGTTAAAAATTTTGAAAAAGTAAAAGAGTTTGTTTGATCAAACAATCATTGATCGAATCTAAAAAGAAGTCCTTATAGTATTGTTTACTGAACTATAAATTCTTGTTTGTCATCATTAACTAGTTTGTTCATGCTCTTTAAATGTTTGTAATAGAAAAAAAAACAAAGATAAATTGAGAAAAGTCTATTTTCATGATCGATAATTTAATATGACATATTCGTAAGTTTATATCTTTCAGTTTTTCCACCAGATTTATTTCGTACGATAATTGTTTCTCATTATGTCCTATTCAATTCAATTGATAATTTTCAATTGATATAATTTATTATTACAATTATTACAGAAGATCATTAACTATTTAAATTAAAACAATAAGATAAGTATAGAAAGTCATTATTTAGTATTTATAACATAAAAATATGTAAAAAACTTAAGATTTCATATGTTATTTCTTTTCAAATTTTATTTTTTCCAAGTTTCTATATCATTGAATTTAATGAATTACATAAAAACAAATAAATGAACTAAAAATAATGAAGTCAAGTCAGTTGTTGAATTATACTTGAAATAATGAGCAGTCTAGAGAGTTCGTTAGTGTCATGACTGCTCATGACTATAAACGATAACTTATACTAAAGTTGATTATATACATACATCTTCAAAATTGTTATAAGATATTTTTTTAATAAATATCTTCGAAGTAGCATACATCGATGCGTATGGTTATCTATAAAATAATCGCTAAAAAATTTACAACCAAAATTTTTTTATTCCTTGCAACTTTAACAAAGATGTATTTCTTGAAAATATTGTGTTAGATTGTATTACGTGAAATCGAAATAAAAAAAGACAAAATCTTAAAAACCTATTTTCTTCATTCCTATGTTTGAGTCTTTATTTTGATATGATATTTTAGTGCGTTAAGTCAAATGCTTGTCTCTATTAATTATTATAACCCATGACTTCGTCGAAGTACATCTATATTTTTAATTAGTGAATCAAATTCTTTGTTCGTTCTTTTTGATTGATGAATTACATTTTATATTGTCTCTTGAAATGACATTAAATCTAAATTTAGTTGTGAGATTATTTACGTTCTTTTAATTTAGCATTAAATTTTCTAGTCAGGAAAAAGTCTATGCTAATTAATTCAAGTACTTGTATATATTAATTTATTTCTTTTTCTTTTTAATTTTATTAAGTGTAGTGTTTAATGATAACACACTATGTCTCTCATTTTTAGTATACTAATTCTATACTGAACAGATATAAGTATAAAGGCTAGATTCATCATCTTAAGAAAAATTTGTCAGTACAAGTCTTAATGATCTAAATATGAAAGGCATATATCATATTTAGCTATATGATAAAATGCAAAATACGTTAAATTATAAATTCCTAATGTTAATTAACTGTCAAAGAAATGTTTAGTCTTCATTCATTGCTCCATTTCGGATGTGAATTACTATTTTTGATCCTCTATCTTTTATTTGTCTTGTTACTATGTATTCGTTTAATATTTGCATTTGTGTTTCATTGTTTCAAATTTCTTTCTTTTTTTATTCTGTTGATCTAACAATTACACTAATTTGTTATAAGGGTTCATTTACTTATACATTAAAATTTGAAACATTGAGATCGATTCATATCTTTTGTATCAATTGCATGCCGATGGCAGTAAATTTGTCATAAAATGATTTAATTAAGTTATATCAAAAATAATAACTTTAACTATTTCACATATTGAAACATGGGTTTTGATCGATTTAAGTTCTAAGAATTTTATACAAGTTTAAAGAAAGTTTTAGAAGACTGATTTCACTATTGCATAGTATCAGTCACTATTGCTAGAAGATTCTTGAGTAGGATTGACTTCAATTGCTAGAAAAGAATATATAGATGAAGCTTTAACTTTTGACTTGTGTTATTAGGAACAGGGAAGGACGCAGGCGCCGAATAACTTTGATATAAAGTTACACTCACTATTATTCGTCAAACAGTATGAGATAGAGATGAGACTAATACTAGTGTGTCTTATTAATTTTTTGCTCTGAATATCTCATAGAAGATGTGTAATGAAACTTTGTTGAAGGTTAACTATGTTAGATATCACTATCCACAGATGGGATAGTACAATAACTCGTTAGTCCAATATCGGTATGGATTTTAAACCAGTACCGATACCAGTTCTGAGAAATCCAAACTGGTTCCATTTCGGCTATGAGAGTTCCAGAAAATATTATAAAATCAATGATATCATACAATAATTTCTTATTCGTATTCGTCTAGTTTTATAAAATGTTCCATCTAATCATATGAAACGTTCTTTTTTTTTATTATTGAATTCTAATGATCAAGTAGAAAACGTGTTTTAATCGAAGTGTTACATTCTGTTCAATAGTTTATGATTGATTTTATTGGATTATATCTGTCTTTAAAAAATAATCCAACATAATTAGTTATTCTGAGTAAAATTTTCTTGTGATAAATTTTTATTTTATTATTATTTATTGTATTTTACAAATATTTAGATCGGTTAATTTGAGAGCGGTTTTTATATTCAAGTGTATATGAGTTACATAATCTTATACATTGAATTTAAAAGAATGATAATTAAATATTGAAAAGATTTGATTATCAAATGAATAAATAAAATTCTTGTTTAAATTCAAAAATATCTAAAAAGTTGAATTAATACGACTAAAGAAATACTATAGTTTAAAACACCATCAACTAACAGAAAGCTATCGTATAGTTTATTAAAACTGTTGCAGTAAAGTTTCTCATATTATTGAATATCGTTGAGCAAAATTTTGAACGAATGTACTTTCCTCAAATCTGATTGATAGTAGAATCACATGTATATTTTAAAATTAACAAAGAACAAAATAAGACAATTTTGTATTATTTCGATTTTGAATAAATATGAGGTGAACGAGTAAATAACATGATGATACATCCATTAATATCTTTTATTGCTTCAAAATCAATAATAATAAACATTTCAAAATATAGCTTTATTTTTTCTTTTGATGGTGGATGAGTTTTTTTGTCTCATTCACAATACATATCAACATGATTGTGCATTTAAAAATCACAAAAGAGATAAAAGATAATTATGTTTTATGTCTTTATTAATATCAATATAGAAATGCAATCTGTCATAAATAATGTGCAAAAAAGAATCAGATCAAAATAGAATTAACACGTGTATGGTAAGTTTGTTACTCATGATTCTATTCAATGTTAGTTCTTTCATAATCTTTTCATTCTACGAAGAGTTTTAAATAAATAAAAAAATAGGGATCGC